TATGGGTATCCTCTCATATTTGAAAGTATTAGGGATGAATTAATATTGAGTTAATATGAATTAATACAAAGAGCAAAGTCTTATAGAATAAACACTTATCAAGTGTGTTATAATTACTGTTATTTTATATTGCAATTTCTAAGGATATCATGAACACACTTTACTTCTCCCCACTTTCAGAGTTACTTAGCACAGGGTGGACTGCTCATGTTCAATGAAAATATTCACCACATTGGGAATCCCCTGGATTAAGAGTTGACCTGATCTCACAGAAGATACCTTTAGTATCAGATACTGAAAACTCATCCTACATTTCTGGAGACTAGTCCATACTCCTGCTGCTAATATGAATGTATAAGCAGCTATTTAGCCTCATGTCTCACTGGCATTCTGAATGTCATGTCTTCACATGATTGCCCCTGCCCATCTTCCCTCATCTCATGCTAGGTATTAATTAACAGTGAGTATTACAACTCCCCTCTCTCTCCATCTATTCCTAGTCCTGATCTAAAACAATTTGGCAGAGAGCATGATCCATTAAAGAAATTTTCTTCTCTAACCCTTGATGCTTATTTTGAACTAGATGGACATTTCTGATCATTGAAGTCTTTTCCTGATAATATGACTACATCTTGCATTTTTGTGTACTCTCCAAAAAATTTCTGTTGGTTTGGCTTTCTATGTTCTCCCTTTAGGCAGCATATCCCCATATCTCTGACTATAGATAACCCTTATCATAAGGAGAAGATGGAGAAGCACATTGAAAGTTCCCATAATTTCACAATCATGCCTTATGTATATTTTCTCCCTTTCTCTGGGAAGTAGAAAGATACATATTTTTATTTGTTTTGGTCTTTTAGTGAATGCTATTGAAAATTATTTACTAAAACCCAGTTTTGTTTTGCTGCCTATATTGTCAGTTTTTTATTTTTAATTCAAAATTGCTCAACATAGGAATTGTATGATGTAATGGAATCACATTACTTTGGACCTAAAAGATACCGTAAGATCTTTCAGTATTATTCAGATCTTTCCTTTTTTTTTAAAAAAAAAAAAAAGCAACACTGATTCTTCGAGAAGTTAACTGACTTATCTGAAGTCACCCAATTTAACCTCAATTGTACGATGATTTAGCGTAAGAATTATGAGTAGAGATCTCCTTCTGGATATTACAAATAATAACTCTTGTCTACTTCTCCAGCACACTCACAGAAAATCTAAAAAAAATAAATAAATTCAGGTCACACATAGTAGCTATTCAATAAGTATTTACTTAATGAAAGAATAAATGAATCTTTAAACTAAATGAACACACAAACAATACAGGTTGGTAAAATATAGATGGGAAATCAGAACTACAAGTTAAGATGGAGTGATTCCCCACAAGAAAATTAAAAAGAGTAAGAATGCATAATTTTGTTAAGACAGTGTTCAAGCCATAATATGAACAGTCCAGCATTAACCGATGACATACATATTTATGGCCATGTACATGGTATATGTTCTAGACAAACTATAGTATTTGTGTGTGATAATCCAATCTTTAAATGTCTCTATCTCAGAGTTTTAAGTTCCAGTATTCTTAAAGCCATTTTAGACATTGTCCCTTCCCCCTTCCTTCCCTCATTTACTCTATTCATTCAGTTAAACTCTTGTGTGCCAGATATTGTGCTAAGTTCCTGGAAAAACATAACATATACATTAGATCCACAGCAACCCCTCATAGAGTTTACAATATACAGCACCTACAGGAAGTGCAAATGATGTAATTAAATATTTAGTGAAAATATGGTTAATGTTGAAAAAGTAAAGGGTTCTAGGAGTATATAATAGGGGAACCTTATCTAGTTGTTGTGTCAGAGAAGATTCTTTTGGGCCAGGTGTGGTAGCACAGGCCTGTAATCTCAGTGGCTAGCAAGGCTGATGCTGGAGGATCACAAGTTTGGCCTCAGCAACTTAGTTAGACCCTGTCTCTAAATAAAATTTTTATATATATTTAAAAAAAATAGATGAGGATGTGTCTCAGTGGTTAAGCACCATTCCGTTCAATCCCTGGTACAAAAAAAAAAAAAAATCCTTTTAAGGAAGTACTGAAAAAGGCTTAAAAAGGAAGGAGGATCCCAGGTAGAGGGAAGTGTTGTATCAAAGCCCTGGGTGGATACTGAACAAGACAAGACAAGGCCCCCAACGAAGGGAAGAGCAGCAGCATAGGAGAACAGAGTCTTTACATGGAATATGTGCTAGGTCTCCAGGGAGACCATTGTCGTTGTTATTAGAAAACAGACTTACTATGTATTTGAATGTCATAACCTCACAATAGTCCTGATTTTTTCACTATCTCTCTAAACTGTTTTCCAACTTTTACGTCAAACATGTAATCTGCAGTAGGATAAAATAAATTGATTGAAGAGACTGTATTTGTTTAAGAAGAAGATAATTATTATTTGCCATCATAGTTATAGGGCCTTTGAATCCTAGAACTCTGTTCTAAATCAATTTTCCATTGCTTTCTGAGGATTTGTAGAGGATTAGAAGTCTTTGTGGTGCAAATGCTCAGAATTCCAAGATTGATTTTTTTTTAATGTACAGTTTAATCAACCTCAAAGTGATCATTCTCTTCTACTAGTAATACTTTAATCAATCACATGGCTGTCAAATGGCATTTTCATTTCCTATTATTTCAATTCCACAAACTTCATTCAATACTTTTTTTTTTGATTACTTAAGAGAAAATTAATTCACATGCAATTCATTCCGTAAAATCCATAGGAATCACTGGAGTCAAATGCCTTACCATAAAGCTAAATATTTCTGGTTTGTTTTACTTTTTTATATATACTAAATTTAAAAATAAGCATAGGTAACTGAAAGTTTACTATTTTGATCATTATTTTTCTGAGGTTTGAGGAAAAAGCCTTTTCAAAATTGTATTCTTCTTACTTTTATTTGTATTGAAAAATATAAATGTAGGTCAACTAGGATTTCTTTTTTCTTAATGAAACAAAGTATTTTGAACTTGATAATATTTGAAAATTAGTCTCAGAGAGAGTTTAGAAGCTTAAGGGAGTAATGAAACACACACACACACACACACACACAAACACACACACATACACAAAGGTATACACAGAGGGTACATTCAGGGTGTTCAGAATGAGTAAAGAGATGGTTATGGTTGCAAAGGAAGCTTTAAAACCATTTATAAAATCACAAATCATATTTTTTAATACCTTTTCCTTTCACTAATGACATTTATTCCTGATAGTTATTGTTCCCAATTCTGTTTACCAGGGAGAGTGGGCTGTGATGGCAAGTGCTTTCAAGGTAATGGAACAGTGACTGGAATCATGAAGCATGTTGGTAATGGGGAATTTATGTTGGAGAATACAATTATGTGCTTTGGTTTTTCTAAAAATTTATCCCTGTTTCTGTTTAAAGCCTGTTTGTAGCTGTTTTCATCTCATTGACAGTTCAGGTTTGAAAATCTAATGATTTTAAGAACAGTTTGCAAGACAAACATGGCCTTTTACGGATTACCAGGGTGTCCAGGGGAGGAACACTGTGAATCACACTTAACTTTCTGAGGTTGCACAAGGATGTTGTCCTTCACTTTGCAAAAGTACTTTTGTATTGTGTTTGTAGGCTTGTGTCAGCAGAGTTTAGTTTTATTAAGTTTTAATCTTGCTTTCACTCTCTTGGAAAAAAGACTTTGTTGTTTTCCTCTATGTTGGAGTTAGCCTCAGCAAGTTGGTGTTGGAGCAGCATTCTACCCTGACCGTATTCTGATTTGAATTCCAAATAGATTGAACAAAACCCACATTAACAGGTTGGCATTATTCTGTGGGCACAATACAGTGATTGTTAGAGAAGTGTGGCTTCAAAGTCCACCAGGGTGTCAGACAGTAAATGAGTCTTTTGTTGGCTTTGGGGGTTGCATTATTTTTCTTTGTCTTGCTGATTTTGAGATTGTTGGACAGAAATTTAACTTTTTCTTCTTTCATTTTGGCAAGAGATTAAAACAATCTCAATAATGTTTCTTCAAAAGCCTTCATTGATATCCATAAAACTTTGTTTCTGAATTAACTTTTATCTCCGAAAAGCTTTGGTTAGGACAAGCCAAGCACTTATAAGAGCATTTGCAACACTTAAAAAGCTTCCTAGTTGGGACTGATCTTTGGTCACTGAGTTTAAAAGGACTGGATGCTGTAATGCAATAGATTGTGTGATTGTCTAAACCTCGGTCCTGCAGGGTTTTAGCTGGGTCTTTGTCTAAGCAGGCCTGGAGCCCCAGCTGCCTCTGCCCCTGAACTGAATGCCTTTGTGTAAATGGTCACCCTGACTCTGATATTGCATCAGCCCCTATTTGTACCCCAACCTATTTCTACATCAGTAGAGTGTACATATAAAAACAGGCTTTGTAATCTGGTTGAGAAAATGCATGGATATTTAGAGGTTTCCCCCTCACTGTCACCTTTGGATGATTAAACCTAGTGGAAAGAAACTTTATGTGATCAAGAATGCAAAATGACCGATCCACACAAGAACTGTGACTTTTTTTCACTGCTGCAATTCCCTGTTGCCAAGGTGAGCTCTCTGGTTTTGCTGCTTTAATCGATTAGATTATCTAGAAAGTTTGGAAGGTCTTTGATTCCAAGAACTATATCACCAGGCTCCACCCACTGGAAAAGTAGAGAGAGAAAGAGAGAGGAGAAATAGACTTTCAAAAAGTAAAGAAACTCTATAAATGTCATTTAGCTCTACACACATACACAGTGCTGTATATAAGATTTGGAATTAGAAAGTTAAATAGGTTATATCATTTCTTGATATAACAGTAGTAAATGCACTTAGATCTCCAGTGTCTTTTTGTATTAAACCATTCTCTCAGTTATAATCCATCTTGGCATTATAAGGGACTAAGAGCAGTATTTCTCCATAGAGATATGATTGACATTTCAGAAAGGAGAGTTCTTTGTTGCTCTTTGTTGTACTTGACTTTCCCAATGTTATAGCACATTTATTGTACCTTACCCCCAAGACCTACAATAACTAGATCTCTTCATTATTGTGCTGATACAATTCTCCTCCTTTTCCATTGCAACTCCCCACATTCCAGATGTCCCTGGTAAGCTGAAGAGTGGTGCCAGACCAAACAGATTGCAAACCATGGTAGGTAGTAAGGCTTGTGAAATCCGTGGATTGAAAACCATGGAGGAGCGTTGGCAATTATCCTGCTGTCATGACTGAAATGTCCATTTCCCTCAGATTCTGAGACTTTCTCCTTTGGATCATGGTAGATAAGGTGCAAAAAAATTATTTCAATATACCTCCCTGTTAATTTCACTGGTTAAATTGAATGCTGTTTCTAGTCAATTTTATATCCCACATAGCCCCTATTCATAGTTTATCACATCCTAAATTTAGAATAGGTAAAGAAATACTCAGCCCTAAAATTACGTGGTACATGTAGACCAGGAGTTTTAAAGTATCATTCCAAAAAAGTTTTTTTTAAAGTAGTTATTTCTAATGTCATGCACACATTTATGTAGAAACTGGTAGCCTATATTACAAAGTTTCATTTAATAAACTGTCAAATGTGTTTGAGTAGAAAGGCCACCAGTGCCACCAGGGAAAGAAGCTCCACAGAGTTGACACTGACAAAATCTAAAATGTGTTAACCTTGGAGTCTTTCAGTATAATCCAGTGACAATGTGACTTGGGTTGACAGACTTACTGAGCCATGTTCAGAATTTCAATCAATGTGTATATTTTGAGTATGTAAGCCTACATTCACATCCTATATCCCAAGTGTTGAGTCCTGATATCAAATAATTAAAGGATTTGCGTTAAAAGTCACATGGTGGCTGATGACTGCTGGGCAGTTGCGGGTACGGAAGACTGATTCCTCTGGGCTGTGGAAGAGCTCTGGCAAGTATCCCACTTTCATGACTAAAATGCCCATTTCCCTTAGATTCTGAATCTTTCTCCTTTGGATCCTGGTGGATAGGGAGCAAGAAATTACTTCAATATACCTCCATGTTAATTTCACTAATTAAATTGAATGCTGTTTCTAGTCAATCTTACTTCCCACATGCCTACGAGATTATGGGTATTGCTTCCTGTTTGGGTTGACATTAATTTACCTTCAGATGGAATTTGTCTTCACAATATCTCAGAGCTGCCCTGGAATCTCAGTCTCCTCATACACTGCTGTCACTTATCAGGTAGTTAAAATAGCACCAATGACAACCAATATTTACATGGCATTTATTGCTTGTCAAAAATGGAAATGAGTATAAAATTTGGAAAAGAAGTCTCTGCTAATATACAAACGTTTGAAGAACTCTTGAAAGACCTCAGTGAGTTGAAGATTATAGAATAAATCGAAACGGGTTGATGCACTATTTTTCATGAGTTTACAATCCTATCTTATTCTCTCTAGGGAATAAAAATATTGTACTCCCATAAACATGTGGCCATACTGTGTCTCACCCCTATTTTCTTCCACTGAATCATTCTTTCCTCTTTTAGGCATTCAGCAAGCTGTCTTCAAGCACTGAACATTGCTCACCTTGTTTCAGACAGGTCCTGTGACAAATTATGGCCTCTGCAGACATAAAAATATATCGATCAAGAGAACTTGTAAGACATGGAAGAAAAATTAATCCATGCTTTTCTTAGAAAAAGGAAACCACCTTTTTGAGCAAACTTTGAGCAGGGCAGGCTCTGGAGCCTCAGCATCACATCTGTTCTGAAGTAAGGGCACAGCAATGCATATTGCAGGCAGCTCCTCCATGTTCTGTTCTGCATGGTGGGTTGGCCATGGACTTTGTGTGGCTTGTTTCCCCATGGAGTTTATGTGGCTCCAAATGCAGATTCACTGATTATTATTATTCCATCTTCCTTTCCATTATAATTTGTTTGGCTATTTAACTCATGCCTAAACCATTCAGCTCAGGGCACTTCCCATGTTCAATGGAGGGTCAAGTCTATGTGAAACTTAGTATGTCAGTCTTCTAAAGCTAGCAAAACGAATGACCACATTTTGGGTAATGTGGAATTGGATCCAGGGTTGCTCTACCACTGGGTTACATCCTCAGCCCTATTTATTCTTTCTTTATTTTTCGAAACAGGGTCTTGCTTAGTTGCTGAGGTGGGCTTCACACTTGATATCCTCCTGCCTCAGCCTCCTGAGTTGTGGAGGCATGCATCACTCCTGGAAAGGTACCACATTTTAATGGCTTAAACTATATAATATATTCCCTTTACAGTTCTATAAGTCAGACATCTGCTGACCACCTACCTGAGCCAAGATCAAGGTGTCAGCAGGGCTGCTTTCCTTTCTGGGGGATCTAGGGGGAAATCTGTCTCCTTGCCTTCTAGCAAGTGGCATGTCTTAGGGGGCAACTCCCTTTGTTATTCTTCAAAGCCATAAACATTGCATCTCTTGGATTATTTTTTTCCTGTGGTTTCATATCCCTCTGTCCACTGCTAGGTAAGGTTCTGCTTTTAGGAACCCATGTGATTACATTGGGCCCACTTTAACCTCCAGGAGAATTCCCAATTTCAGCATTTTTAATTGCATCTGAAAAGTTACATTGCAGCTTTCAAAAGCTAAAACATGTTCTGAATGCTTGTGCCCTCCTAAAATTCACATTGAAATTCTAAACACAGAAGTACTGGGGTGATGGTATATGGGGGTGGAGTTTCAGGGAGGTGATCAAGTCATGAGGCAGAGCCCTGCTGAATGGGCTTAATATTCATCTAAGTGGGACACAAAAAAAGATTCCTGTCTCTTTTGCCACATAAGAAACAATGAAAAGACAGTCATCTATTAATAAGGAGAGGCCTTTAGCAGATAGTGAATCTGAAAGCACCTTGACCTTGGACATCCCTGCCTTCAGAACTGTGAAGAATAAATTTGGGTTATTTATTAGCCAACTGGTCTAATTTTGGTGGAGCAATCTGGAAGGATTATAAGGGCATATTTGGGAGTCATTATTTTGCCATTCACTCCTGGATTTTTATTGAGAGAAATTTACTTCATTCCAGACAGTTTTGTTAGTGAATGAGAGACCTGGGCATGCCTCAGTCATATTGCTGTCCTAAGAAAAGCCAACCTGAGTATAAAGACCTATGAGAGAGCAGCAGAACTGGTGTGAAAAGAGGATATATTATTTAGGAAATCTTTAAGTGCACGCCTTATCTCTAGACTTTTCTATAATATGAGCTAAAAGATTTCCCTTAGTGTTTAGGTAGTTTTAATTTTTATTTTCATCTTAACATATATGTACTGCAAGTTATACATTTCAATATGTTATTCCATGGATTTTTAAATTGACACATAGCAATTGTACATATTTTTGGGGTACCGAGAGACATTTTGACATACACACACACATACACACACACACAAAATCTGTAATGATCATATCAGGATAAATGCCATATCCATCCCTTCAGACATTTTTCATTTCTTTGTGTTGAGAACATTCAAATTCCTCTGTACTGGGACCTTTCAAATATATAAATAGTTGTTGTCAACTGTAGTTCCCTTACTGTGCTATAGGGCAGTAGAAATTTTTCTTCCTGTCCAACTGCATTTCTGTGTCTGCTAACTATCCTTTCCCCATCCTCCTTACCTTGCACCCTTCCCAAATCTTTTGTGACCATTATTTCATTCTGTACTTCTAAGAGATCACCTTTTTTTTTTTAGCTTCCAAATATATGTGAGAAAATTGGGCATGTGTCTTTCTGTGCTCCACTTAGTATAATTTTCTTCAGTTCCATCCATGTTGCTGAAAAATGACAGAATTTCATTTTATGACAATAGCATTTCATTGTGTGCACACACAATGAAATGCTATTGTCATAAAATGAAACACACACACACACACACACACACACACACACATACATACACACCACATTTTCTTGATGTATTCATCCATCAGTAGATCCTAGACTGATTCTGTATCTTTGTGTTATGGTTTCGGTGTGAGGTCTTCCCCAAAATCTCAGATGTGAGATAATGCACGAAGGAGTAGAGGAGAAATGATTGGGCTATACCTTAGCTTAATTAGTGAATTAATCCCTGATGTGATTAAATGAGTTGTAACTGGAGGCAGGTGAATGTGGCTGGAGGAAGAGGCTCATTGAGGGTGGGGCTATGGGGTATGTATTTTGTATCTGGAGAGTGGAGTCTCTGTTTTCTGATCATCAAATGAGCTGCTCTCCTCTGCCACATACTCCTCCATGATGTTCAGCCTCACCTCAAGTCCCAAGAAATGGAGCCTCCTGTGGATTGATATCTCTGAAACTGTGAGTCCTCAAATTAACTTTTCCTCCTAAAATTGTTCTGGTCAGATCTATTAGTCACAGAATCAAAGAAAGTTGACTAAAACACTTGACTATTGTTAATAACACTGCAATAAGCATGGAGAGCAGATGTCTCTTCAACCTGCAATGATTTTTGAAACACATAGAGGGTAAATTTGTTCAACTATCAAGCTACAAACTAATAATTGTCACAAAGAAACATAAAGTGTATGGTAGAATTCCAAATAAGCTTATGACCACAGAGTTAGCATAACAGAGATATTCCCAGGAAGGCCACCCCAGGATGGGTTGGGGCAACCTGGACCCAATCACATTCTTCCTTTGGGTAACATACTTGCTGGCCAAATGAAAGAAAGGCAGGTCACTGAGCTCAAATCCTTGCATAGCTTGCTGTTCATACTACTCTTTAAGAGTACCGCAAATATCAGGACTCAGAAAAAATTTAAGTCAGTGAGACTATTCCTGTCTTACTTCAGAACAGGAATGTAGTCAATTCCCATTTCTGCAGGTAATCTGCATTTTCTTCCCTGTGAATCTAAGAGACCCAACTAATGTGATAATGCAATTTTTAGGTTCCATAGTGGTTGTCAGTTTATTACTGCTCTTGCGTCCTACTCAGTGTTCATGCTTACACATTTCAGAGATTTCAGAGTCTTCTTGTCTTTTTTTTTTTTTTAACTTTGAGTAGGGGCACTTAAATCACTTCCTGTAGCATAACAAAGTTTATGTATGGTGAATTATGATATGATTGTTATTTAAAGACTGGCATTTTGATTAGATCTAAGAGTTCCAATGGAAACATAAATATGCCTGCATCCTGCACAGATCCTCTTATTTCATTATCTGCAATTTAACAATTTATGAGAATTTAAAATCTTTCTACATCTGAAAAGGCAGATACTTTAGAAGAGGTTAATACATATGATGTAAGATTATGACTCTTAGAAACATTTGATTTGGATAGGATGAAAACCAAAAAAAGATAGAAAGACATTAAATTTTGGATTTAGATATTAGATATTTATAATTAAATGTAGGGAAATATCACAAAAGGTAAAACAAACTTTTTAAAATCAAAATTCTGCCAGGGTTGACTCAGACGAATGAGTGTGTTGGTGAAACAATGCCAGTGGTGTTCATTAAGTTACACAGCTTCAGCTGCAGCAGTAAGAGGAGATTCTTTTCACTCTTTGCCTGAGAAAACAAGAAAAATCCCAGAGAGAATATCACTAAATTCAAAGAAGGAAAAATGAACACCAAGTATAAGAGAATGACATAGATTGGTTTCTAAGAATGTTATATTTTTCTCAAATGGATATGCTTAATAAATTTCACTTAAAATTATAAGATAAACTGAGTATATAGATAAAACATATGAAGGATATATCTTACAAAGAGAACAGTATCAATTTATTTCTTTCCAATATTTCAGGTTACTAAGGAAATAGATTCTGTTTCAATTTGCAAAGAGTATCATGAAAGTAGGTCAAATTTGTTGGAGAAAAGAAAATAAAGAACTATATTTTCAAGCTAGATTCTTCTCTGTTTTATTATCCCTAAGGAAAAAATTAAACCATAAAAAGCTGATAATTGACAAGGCAGTATAAGTATATAATAAGAGGAAAATGTTACTTAGAAGTAAAATAGAATTATTATAATCATCAGGGATCACTTTTTTCAACTGTTAGAGAATAGAAGTACAATCATATATTTAAAAGAGTAGAGATGCAGCATTTTGAAAGTCTTCAATAATAAAATGCATAATCATTTTCACTTTTTCAGAAAGCACATGAGTAAACTATTGCTATAAAATACAAAACTCTCATTAGTTTCTCTAGTGTTTGCTTCCTCATGCAAATTGTTTCTTCACTAAAGATCTTCCAATGATGATTGATCATAAATTTACACTTAATTTTTATTACATTTCATTGTTTTTTTCCTGAGCTGGTTGAGGAAGATTTTTTAAATTATCAAAAATTTTAGCTGTGTGCAGAGGTGATCTTAGCAACATGGTGTCTGAGGAAGGAGAATCACAAGTTCAAATCCAGCTTCAGCAACTTAGAGAAACCTCATCTCAAAGTAATAAATAAAAAGTACTTGGTATGTGGCTCAGTAGTAAGGTATCCCTGGGTTTAGTCTCTGTACATTTAGTCTCTATACCAAACTCCCAAATGTGTGTGTGTGTGTGTGTGTGTGTGTGTATCAGAAGTTTTATTGGAATAACTCTTACCATTTGATTCAAATAAAATCTTCAAAAGATTAAAGTCATGGCTTATCTCTCAAAAATAAGTCATATAAAGATGTAGTTTAAAATGAATATTATCAAAATAATGGTTTCAAAAGCAAGTATTTAGTCCTTGAGACTATTTTTCAAGAGGATATGCTTTTCTATATTCTCATAGAAATACATGACTGCTTTTAATCAAATTTCTGAGACAAAGTCTGTGTTGTTTTGTGTTTTGATGCCATATTCAATATCAATTGTGCTGTCAAAACAATTGTAACAAGCAGAATAAAGTTTTGTTTTTAGTTGTAGATGTGCACATACCTTCATTTTATTTACTTATTTTTATGTGATGCTGAAGATCAAACCCGTGTCTCATACATGTAGGCAAGTGCTCTACCACTGAGTCACAACTCCAGTCCCAAAAGTGTTTTTTAATTGGAATTCAATATGTGGATTTAAAAAACTAGAGATGCATCAGGGCAACCTCTATGTAAGCTTTTAAGTTTGGGTAAGTTTAAAAGTCTAAGCTCCAATAAAAATTATGTGAAAGGGTTCTATTTCATCTTAAGTCTCTGGAAATACTCTTGTCAGGCAGCCATGAAGACACTTCTCTTATTGGGAATCCTAACGTTTGCTTGGCTCTTTGAGTAGCAGTTAC